AAACCTATCTTATGGATCCAAGGGTCTGTTTGAGCACAATGATGAAAACTATTTTATGTATTTTTGTTTTGAAGTATGTTAAATATTGTATTTTAAAGTGTTTTTTATTTGAAAATATATTAAAATAATATTTTTTTATTTTTAAAATTTTATTTTGATATAAATATATTAAAACAATTCAAAGATAAAAAAAAATTATCAACCATGCAAAAATGATCCAACTCATCAAAAATTATCAATCATAGGCCAGGCAGGAACCACACATCAGCCAAGATTAAGACAATTGTGTTCCTTCTCAACATGAGAACCTACTTGTAACTTGTTGAAATGAATTTAGGCTGTCGGGATACTTTCAATTTACCTGGAAGAAAAATATAATTGGACCTCACACGCTTCATTTGCTGAAAACCTGCGAAGAGAACATTTATTAATATTAACTTGTCATTGGGCCTCATGCCCAGTTTCACTTAGCTTCTTCCTGAATATACATACAGAATCAAGTAATCAACGTGGTATTTGGAGAAAGAGTAGTTACTGTTTCTTCTATGAGCCCTAGAATCTGGCCCTATAGAAGCAGCTATTGATATTGAAAGGTTTACTTAATACACTCTGGCCCCGTCTCTTTCCCTTCGTTTTTATTTATACCCTTGCATGTTTTTCACATCGACTCCCAGTAAATTCACTCTGGCTCCGCCTCTGCATGCAGAAACTTCTTGAGAAACATTGGCATTCAAATCCAGGAATTCTTTGCTAAACAAAAACTCAATGTAACTTCATCTGCTTGCGTTTTACTGTGTGGTCTAAAGTAGGGCTTTTAGACATTGACTCTACTGTCTAATTTATAAACCAATCCTCGGTTCAGTCTCCAAGCCAATGTCTTCCTTGATTGACTCTCCGTTCTTTCAGAGATTCTTGATCTGGTCTGAGATCATCTAGGAAACATCAAATTATGATTGAAACATGTTTCGTTGCACAGAATACAAGATTTTGTTAAAGTTTGTACCTTTTCTTTTATGAAATAAGTATGATTAAAATTGTGTTTAATTCCTCTTAACACCATAAATATTTTTGCTTCCATCAAATTTATGTTTGCTGCCATCTGCATAGACCCTACTGATCAAAGATTTTTTTTTTTTGTGTCTTTGCCATTATCGAGACAGATAGCAATTGCATGCGAAATAATAGATCGAGAGATTAAATCGCGGGTGAAAAAAGAATGGTATAAAACGAAACTCGTATGAATGCAGCAGCAAGCAGCGTGAATATAATTGCATTTTCTGAATTTTTCACGCTATTAAGGACTCAGATATGGCTATAGATAGCACAGACCAGATGAGTCGTTGGGTTGTAAGATATTGTTTGTTTTTATATTTTAAAAATATTTTGATATATTAATATTAAGAATATATATCAAAATAGAAAGAGATTTATATTAATCGTGATGAGCCCACTGACATCAAATTAGATTCTATTGAAGATAGAAAGAGATTGTTCTATTAATCGTGGCTTATGATATCCATGTGTTTTATATTGTGTTTCTTCGAACATAGAAGCAGAACATTTTGCTAGCTTACTGTGATTTTCTGAGCAATTTTAGTATTTTCTTTTTCTTTTGTTGTATCTTTCTGCAGTAATGACCGACGTTGTTAATTTGTAGCACAAATTAATATAATTAATACCAGTCTCATTTAATCTAAATATCCCATGCATGACTTGAAAGATGAAAATTTAATCTGAATATAATTAATGCCGATCTCATTTAATCTAAATAGACAAATATTTTTTGGATTTGATGTACAATAAATAAAGTATTAATATTATTAATTCCAGCTCAAAATCCAATTAAATTTAATCCAAAATATATTTGTAGAATATTTAGATTTTTTAGCACAAATAACACATATATAAATATTATTTATATATGTGTTTTGTACCAGTATTAGTATGTTAACTAATTTTTTATTAAATAATACATATTCATAGGATATCTAAAATATGAATAATTTATAAATATTTAAATTTATTGGTTGATGAATAATAAATTAGATATAAATTTAGAAAAATCCTATGGGTGAGTAGTAATCATTATCATTCCTCCCATGACCTTAACTTCTTTTTTCTTTTTCTTTTTTGTTTTGTTCTTCCTTTAGCAGTACTTTTTTTATTATATATTATCCCAGATGGTTTAAAGTAAAAAATTATTATCAGCATTAAGCTCTACGATCCCAGTCAGGCATCCAAACAAAAATAATTAAGTAGAGAGAAGGATGGGTGTAATGATTGAGTGCCAACCAACAACCAATTGTTACAATGTCAGACCAGTTGGGATCGGATATAAAAATTTGTTAGCCCCATTTTGTCCAATCATATGCTTGATCTTCTCTCGTATTAAAAGATCTTAGATCCCTGTAATATACATCACATACCACCAATTGCCACCCATAATAAAATTTGCGATGGTTTCCATGGAGAGAAGATGGCGGGCAAATTTCTGTATTTGCTGGGAAGCTGACCGGATATTTATATTAAAAAAATAATTTTAAAAAATAAAAAATATATCATTTTAATATATTTTTAAATAAAAAATAATTTAAAAAATAATCATAATGCATGACATTCACGGTGCTAACATATAAATATTCATATCGCAGGCACATGCAATGTCCTTGCCATCTCTCCAATGGGGTCACATGGGCTTGTGTTCCATACCAGTGGCGGTTCCCATTGGCCACGATCCCTTCTTTGGCCTTACCTCCGCTATGAACTAGCACACCACATCTTTGCCAACGTCAAGCATGTTGTTTGACCTGTATTGTCCTTCTCGGTCGGGACATTTTTAGTGCTCTCTGTAGCCCGGACCAGAAATCCCATGTTTATCGACTTCTCTTGTTTATGGCCGCTTGATACTGTGGCTGGGGTGAGGTTCACCTGCATACATAATTTTTCTTGTTTGATTAATGTGCTGGCCTGATTGATTTTGAATAGGACTAATTTAATAAAATAAAAAATATTTTTATTTTTATTTTATTTAATAAATTCATGTTTAATATTATTAAATGATACTACATATATTAAATGAAGATAACTTAATGACATAACATTTGTAGAATTTGATTATAGTCTTAATTTTTTTTTATTATATTTTACCTAGTGTTGTAGTACTCTTAAAAAGATCAAGAAAACTATAGTCCTTATCGAATGTATTTTATATGTAATAGATTTGTAAATAATTTTATGGAACAAAATACTCTTAAAAAAATCAAGAAAACTATAGTTCTTATCGAATGTATTTTATATGTGATAGATTTGTAAATAATTTTATGGAACAATAAAAAATATTTTATATAAAATATTATTTATTTCATGATATAATAACAACAGTTAGATCTATAATATTTATATAAAATATATAATCTCATTTTAAAAAATATTTTTTCAATCAAATATATTAAATTATTTTTTATTTAAATTTAACTATCACTTTAAACACACTTATATATAAATTTCAAACGAATTACAACTTAACGAATTTCAACTAAAAAACTTTGATGGCCAGGTCATTGTCTTGTGTTAAAAAGTAAAGACAAATGTCCCTGTAAAACATCTGTCTGGAGATGATGTTGGAGACATTCGTACTAACTTGCTGGGAGAAATCATCTTATTTTATTTTTAAAAAAAATCCAGGTAATATTGTAGCTCATTCAATCGCGTTTTGATGATTGAGGAATTTTACATGTGATATTCAAAATTCCAAGACTATTTCAAGAATCCATTTCATATCGCGTTGTGTATGATTTTTTTATTTAAAAATTTATGAAAATAATATTTTTTATAATTTATTTTTAATATTAATATATTAAACTTATTAAAAATATATACAAAATAGTATCAATTTAATATTTTTTAAATTATGAATAATTTAAAAAATATTCTCAAAAGCAAAATCTATCACAATAAAACATATACTCTAGAAAAAAGTGTTGCAAAACATGTATGTACGTGTGTGTATGCACATATTAGTTATTTGACCCGTGTCAAGGTTATAATTTATTTTATAAAATAATTGTGTATACAAGCTATTTTGATATGATTTTTACATGAAATAATCAAAATATGGATTAAAATATTTATTCAGACATATAATTAAATAAATAAATGATCATTTATATAAATAAATAAATAATTTATTAATAATAACTAAAATATAAACTAGAATAATTAAGATATATATATATATATAAATTAAGATATTTAATATTATACCTATTTGTGTTTACTAATTCTGTTTATTGAAATAAATAAAAGATAACAAAAATAACAACACATGTAAAATTGAGTGAATAAAAAAAAAATACCATGCAAGTTTGAACATATCAAAAATATTATTTCAAAATAGATAATTAAATATAAAACATTAAAAAAACTATATTAAAAAAGACTTGCAAAACTCATTACCCAAACCATGAGGTCGGGACAAAGTAATAGAAAAGAAATTAAAAATAACTATAAAATTGATCTTAAAAAAATACAAAATCCTAAAAAAAAGAGAAAAAAAAGGATCCATGACTGAATCAACTCTTAAAACTCAGAAGCATGACAAATAAAAAAATTATAAAGCTTAACCCATAATAAATCAAACATCGAATGATGAAACTAAGAAAAAATTATTCACAAAAAAATTATAATTAGAACAAAAAATCCATGAAAAAAATAGAAATAAAAAAAATCCAGCAAAACAAAAAATAATGCACGAAAAATTATAATTTAAGGATTAAATTAAAAACTTGTCTAAAATAGCCAAGAATGAAAATAAACAACAAAAAAAATATAAAGACTGGAATTGAAAAAAAAGATAAACATGTACTTTTTCCATAAAAAAATAAAATAAAAAATCCACCCGTGACAAATAACTTTCAATTACTATTATGCGTTGCAAAAAAAAAAAGAAGATGAAATGATGCTTTCTGTGACATAACGAAACAACATATTTGATTACTAAGAGTGTATTTGGTATTATAGTAGTTGTTGTGGTCATGGTTTGAAAAAAAATATTTTATAAAAAGTACTTTTAATTGAAGTTGATTTGAAAAAATAAATATTTGGTTAAAACCAAGGTTGAAGAAAAAGTAGCTTTAATATGTTTGGTTAACAATACTTTTGAAATTGAGGTTATAAAATAATTTTAAAAAATATATATTGACATTGATGGTTTTTAATTTAAATATTGTGAATTTAACTATTGCTATTATATCATGAAATAAACCGAACTTTATATAAAAAAATTACTTCAACAAAAGACTATCTACAATTCCATTCGCATAAAATTCATCTGATAAGAACTACAAAATTAGATAAAATATTATCAAGAATAAAATTAATATTATAATACGAGTATA